CCCCAGGTGGAAGTGAAGCCATACGTCCTGGATGACCAGCTGTGCGATGAGTGCCAGGGGACTCGCTGCGGAGGAAAGTTTGCTCCTTTCTTCTGCGCCAATGTGACCTGTCTGCAGTACTACTGTGAGTACTGCTGGGCAGCAATCCACTCCCGGGCCGGCCGCGAGTTCCACAAGCCGCTGGTGAAGGAAGGAGGGGACCGACCACGACACATCTCCTTCCGCTGGAACTGAGACAAGAGACCTGGGAGGGACTGAGAGAAAGGGGTAGTTAAGGGCGGGGTATGGGCTATGATGAAAAATAAATGCACTTTTCTTTTAAGTTGAGAAAAAAAATGGTAATATTGATAATTTATTTTTATTTTTTTATTTTTTTAAACTTGGGCCCACAAAAAGTAAATGCTAAGAAGAGTGAAATCCCATTTATGTTTTGACTTTCAGTGTGCATGAGCATATGGATGCATTATATTTGGATTTGTGTTTCTTGTTGACTTGACTATATTTTCTTTCCTTTTCTTTCTTTTTTTTTTTCATATTAGCTGGCAAAGCTGCTTACATTTGTTGATGAGAGTAACATAAAATTTAAGTGAGGTTCATCACACCTAAATCAGTATACTAACTATGGGAGTTTAGGAAGGGTGCATTTTCTTACTTTTTGCTTGCAGGATTAGAGAACAACTGTACAATTTACCAAAGGTTTAATGTAAATGGTTGAGGTGAACAGTGGTGGAACTCTGTTTCAGATGGATGGATGGATGATTGAGTTTTCCAAGCAGCTCAGCGTATAGCATCTGGCCACGTCACAAAAGACAAAAAATCTCCCCCTCAGTTCAGTACACATGTTTAAGATTGTCAGCATGAGTTTTCAGGTCTTGGTTTAAAAGTCAACACTTTGTAACCAGAAAGGGCAAACCAAAGATTGGCCTAAACGCATCACCTAAAACAGTCATTGATCTGAGGGTAATCAGGATAATGTTCTCGTACAGTGAAGGAATGGCTGGAGTTTTGGTTTGTGAGTTTCAGCTAACAAAGACACAGCCCTCAGGGCTCAGGTATTGGCAGTAGTATTTACTCACTTTATATTGTCAGGGATATTAGCACTGGAAGCTAACATGCTAATGTAATACAAACTAATGGGAATGCACAGTCCAGTCTCCCTGAGTTGTCCTCATGGTGTACCACTGCACGCTCTACCGTGACTGGAGCTTCTCTCACAAGTGTTGTGGTTGGATATGGTAGTAGCTAGAATTTGCTGTCACAGAGATAAAGATATTATTTTATACATGGCCTGCTGATTTTTGTACAGTGTTTTATAGCTGATTATTTTGTCATGAACATATATACATTTATTATGCACTACTTTTCTAAATATTTTTTTCAATAGTCATTTTAGGCACATTTTTCACAGATGGGAGAACTCCTTTTGCAATACCTCATTTTTTTCACTTGGTGAAAAATAATTTTGTACCTTTGTTACTAAGAGATCTGCATTTATGGTAAACTTAATTTAACAAAAAAAGAATGATATTAATATAATTTTCAATTAGCTTTTATATATTTAAGTGCTGGTAAATCTGAAAATTGTCTGGTGCATTGGTGTGATTCTGTAGATTTAAAAAAACAAAACAACAAAAAATATATAAAGCTATCATTAGCCAGTCATATATGGATTCTCCTCTGTCCTAATAAACATCATTACAGGATCCTAAGGCATGGCAAGACCTTTCTAAACTGATTTTGATAGTCTTGAAAATGCATATAATCTGATATTTTGCTCCTAGGTGTAGTCACTAAGATTATCATTAGGGTAAATGTTTTGGCTTTGATCAATGTGAAATCTTCCCTTCTATCACCGGAGTGGATATCAGCTGTTTGAATATTTAGATCCTCTTTCTGGGACTGCCTGTGAGTTCTACTTATTCTTGGCATGCATAAGAAATAAAATGACTAGTGATAATGCAGGACCTAATGTAATGCACTAGATCTCCTTTTTTTTTCTCTCTCTCTTTGACTTTCTTTATTTCTCTTTGAGATTGCCTCTCTTGTAGCCTCTCTTTACATGATTGAGTCTGCCTTCCTTTACACAGACGTGATGTTTATGCAATCTACATGGTGACAACACTTTAGGTCTGTTTTTTTTTTTTTTTGTAACATAGAGGACACTCAGTAGGACATAGGTGAGGAGACTTGATCACTTTGACCCCCTTTGTGATGTGGCATGCTTTGGGACATAACCTGAATGTGATTTAATGTTGCAAGTTAACTTTGAGCCATTATGTGCAATACTTATTCTTTCCAGAAACAGTTCTCCGCAGTGTAAGTCATTCAATCCATATAAACCATGCAGTCATTTACACACCTTTGTTTCCTATTGTTCATGCTGATGTCTGCAAAAGGAAAAAAATAATTTATACCTGAATTTATTTTTAAACATTAGTTTTGTGCTTATTAACATATTTTGCTACAACCATGCTACTGTGATTGAAAACATTGTGTATATAATAGGTCGATAATGTATTTACCGTTTGCTATATTTTCAGTTGAAATGAATTACTGTCATTTTGATCAGTTTTTTTTTTCTTTTTTTCTTTTTTTTTTGTCATATTTTTTTGGGGTGATGTGTTCAACTCGTTGACGTGTCTAGTTTTTCTAATTGCTGTATCTGTGCTCCACATTTTCACATGGGAAAAAAATGATTATGTCTATTAGTATTACTTGATTGCAAAATTTCAATAGTTTTTAATTAAATGATGGGAAGGTTATATTTATTAACTTTTTTTTTTTACCTGATATCATTTTGATTTTTTTTAAAGTCATTTCACATTTATATGTAAGTTCCAATTTTTATATTTTCTCGATTAATTTGCGCTACAATACAGACGTCAGTTTTTATAGTTGGTTTGTAGTACTGAAGTAAAACAAAGATCTAATGTCATATATTCATTTGCTGCCAACTGTTTGTAACTGTATGCATACATTTGAAGTATTTGTAATGTGAGATGTTGAACGAATAAAAAAACGCTGTGAGGAAGAATCTGTCCTGTGTGTTAACGGGAAATTCTCTAAACTGGAACCGCGCATCTATTGCCATTGTTGTGAAAGGTTGTGTGGGTTTTTTTTTGTTTTTTTTTTTGTTTGTTTTTTTTGGTGGCACAGCCATGGGTTAAATCTGCTCAGATTAAGCAGTATTTAAAGACTGTTGCTTGTTTAGTCTTCTGTCCTGAAAATCTTTGCCTGTGTAGCTGCATTTGTTTTCTTTTTAAATTTATTCAAGTGAAAAATTTGCAAACAGTATGGGTGCATAGAAGATTGTTAGTGCAAACTGCTAATCTAGACAAACTATTTCTAGACGGTAATGATTTTTTGTCCTTGGGCTAAACCTGTAGTTATTATCTTGCAACATCTAATTAAGTTTCATGTTCCAGCTATTCCTCTAACCTTATGTATTTTATAACCTTTTTTTTTTTTAAATAATACTCCAGACGTCCATAAGTGGGTCAACAATGACCTGCATTCATTTCTTATGGAATTTCATGGGAACTTGTGATTTGTAACTGTCAGCTAGATCTAGAGATCTATAGAGATCTATAGATCGAGATATGGTAAATGGCCTGTATTTATATAGCGCCTTACTAGTCCCTAAGGACCCCAAAGCGCTTTACATATCCAGTCATCCACCCATTCACACACACACATTCACACACACTGGTGATGGCAAGCTAATATCTATATAAACAAAAAGAATTGGGGGGACCACACTTTGTGGTCCTTAACATTATTTTATTATTATTATTATTTTAATATTATTTTACAAATGACAGACAGCATTCATTCAGCATTCAGACAGCAATTCATCAGAAGTGATTGTGCATTACAGGGGGAGGTTTCAAATGTCTACTGCACATGCCAAACAAGCTTGTCAAGTATGACCAGAAGATTCTCTGGGTTTGTGATACAAGGATCCTCTTTGCAGTATTTGGAATGGTTTACAGGGAGGCAAATTCAATAGAATCTGAAGGAAAACATTGTCCAGTAGATTCAGAAACACACGATGCAACATCACCACAGTTAACTTTCTCCCCAGTGTGCCTAAGGCAGACATCGTTCCTCTGATGAAGCCTTCAGAGTCCTGGCTTACAGCACAGTGTTAGGATTCAAACTTACTATGGTCAGCTATGTCAACAGGAAAGGAATGGGTGTTGTACTCCTGAGCACATTGTATCAAAATTAAATTGTGAATAAAAATACCAGAAAGGGGAGGGGGGGGGGGAACACAATTGATCATATTCTATAAGACCAAAGGAGGTGTAGATACTATGGACCAGATGGCACATATATCTGCCAGTGTAGAACCTAGAGGTGACCCATGGTGCTGTTGTACAACTTGACGCTGCCGCCCTGAATGCCTACACCTTTTCCACGGCTTAGCGCCCCAAATTCAAGAATGGTATTTTAAATCCATGACGGGTCTTTTTCACTGAGCTCTCAAAGGAGCTTGCCACACCACATATGAGAAGTCAACTGGATGGTTGTTCCCAACTGCAAACATCGATCACTGAAGCAATGGGAAGCTGTGGCATGAGAAAAACCACAACTTGGCCACAGGAGAAGAAGCAAATAGAATCCTTACATTATTATTTATTACTAGAGCTACA